CATTATGCATTATTTTTACAAAGTTTTACTTACGATATAGTTTACAGGAACACTAATAACCATTTTAACGCTGACGCATTATCTAGATTACCAATTAATACACAAAACAATTTTACTTGCGATGAACCCGATATATTTGAATTAAATTTAATTGATACACTACCAGTAAACCTTAAAGATTTAGCTTACATTACAAAACATGACGTTACACTACAGAAACTACTGCACGGTTTAGAAAACGGGTATGAAGTCGAAAAAGAATTTAGATTTAATGTAAATCAAAGCGAATTTACTCTTCAATCAGGCATCATTATACGGGGACAAAGAGTAGTTATTCCTACAAAACTCAGAAGAAAAATTTTACAAGAACTGCATACAGCTCATTTCGGTGTAGTTCGGATGAAATCCTTAGCTAGGAGCTATTGCTGGTGGCCTCGTATTGACAGCGATATTGAATTTGCAAAAATTGTTTTACTTGTAATAAACTAAAAAACAATCCAGTCATTGACGATACTCACATTTGGGAAAAGCCAAAACATTGCTTCGAAAGAGTACATGTGGATTACGCTGGCCCATTTAATGGCGGCTATTATTTTGTTTTAGTTGACTCTTTCAGTAAGTGGCCAGAAGTTTATTTTACCAAAGAAATTACAACGGCAGCCACAATAAAATTTTGCAGAAAAATTTTTAGTACTTTCGGTATTCCAAAAATATTTGTCTCAGACAATAGTACCCAATTTACTTCTTTTAAATTTAGAGAATTTATTAAAACCAATGGCATAATTCACAAATATTCCGCACCTTTCCATCCTGCAACAAACGAGCTAAGAACTCGTTTAGATTAATTAAAACCTATTATCTGGACTAATATACCATTATACAAAAATTTCTCAAAGAACACTAAACGTGGGAGATAGAGTTTCAGCTCGCGATTATCTTCACACTAAGTGGCAATTTGGTAGAATTATTAAACGAATTGGTTTATTACACTATTTAATCCAGCTTGACGATAAGCGTACGTAGAAGAGGCACATAGATCAGTTGAGGAAAATTGGAGAGCATACACCTATCACACCTTACTTACCTGTTTGCGTTCCCAACAACATCACTGTTACTCCTAGTACCGTGCCTGCTCTCGACTCTTGTGAGGACATTCCAAAAACAGACGATTTGCACGAGTCGGATCGTTTGTTACCTATGAATTCAGAGCCCGGAACTCAAGCTGAGACTGATACTCAAGTTTTACGCAGATCTACACGGATTCGAAAACCGGTGGTTAAATTAGACTTGTAGAAAACTACTTTTGTATTTTTTTTTGTTTTTAACAAGGGAAGGAAATATTACATATTCAAATTTCCTGCCAGGAAAAGGGCACGTAGGCAGAAGAGTTTTACAACTATGACAACATATTTTATTTATGTTAGCAACACGATTGATGGACATTGCCAATTTTGTTAAAAAGTACATTTACTTTTGTATTGCTCTTTTAAAAGTGAATTACAGTTATAAAGTTTACCAGGCGTTTTAATTACTTAATATATATTGTGTACACATACACAACAAATCCACACCATTGACATAAGCGATTTGTAGTCTTTTCAGCAAGGACTTATTAAGGTTTTCAATTTTTCCATTGGCTTGGGAAAAATAAGGTGGGGTCTGTACCAATTTTATATTATTGTTTGTACAGAATTTTTTAAATTCTTGACTGACAAACTGCCTGACATTGTCAGAATACTTTTTGGATACCCCAAACGACAAAATAATTCGGTTGAATGTCGAACAAGAATTGCTAAAGTAGTCGATATTAGGAATTTGATTTCATGGTATCTCGACTAGAGTCGATCACTACAATTACCATATCTTTGTTTGGTAAAAGGCCCATCAAGTCAATAGCCAGAGCCTGCCACGGGCCTTCTGGGAATTTATGTCTGGTCATTGATGGCGGGTTATTCGGACGGGAAAACAAGAGACAATTCTTACAGGTTTTCACAAAATTTTTATTTTCTTGATCGATTCTAGGCCACCACACCTTGGCTCGTAGACGACTCTTCATGGCTGGATGGCCCTCGTGCGGCAGTTCCAGTACTTTTTGTCTTAAAGCCGTTGGTATAATTATTCGATTTCCTCGCAGTATCACGGCGCCCACTGTTGTTAGTTAGGCTCTAAACGCGTAGTATATATTTTTGTTTATTTTCCCCAATCCTCGTTGTTAGTCATGTTCGAAATTTTGATCAATTTCTGAGATATGCATAGCTCTTGGTGCGGTGTTTTCTAGTAAAGTAAATATGTGGTGTACATTTCCTTTATCGAAAGTTGACTCGTTGGAGATTTCAATGCGTGCTGGGGGGTTTGACGGTGGGCTGAAAATAGCTTCCAACGGTTTATGGTCTGTTACCAGTTTAAACTCTCTTCCAAAAAGGTAGTAGGGAAATAAGCGCTAGACTCCCCTTCTCTGTCTGAAAGTATCTGCGTTCGGTTTCCGATAAACTTTTGCTTGCGTAGAAAATTACTCTCGGGTTGTTGTCTTGATTGAAATAAACCAGAACTGCTTCTAAGGCTACTGGGTTTACATCTGCAATAAGACGTGTTTTCCTCTTTACATACCTTAATGTTGGTAGCATTGTTAGGACCTTTTTTAGATGGTTAAAATGTATTTGTTGTTCCTTCGTCCATTCGAATTTTGAGTCAGATTTTATCAAACGTCGTTAAGGTTCTGTGGTTGTCCCCAAATCGGGCATAAACTTCCTAAGATTTCGAAAAAATTTCTGAGTTCCTCTTTGGAATTCGGCGATCGGAAATTTAAGATGGATTGTACTTTGATTTGGTTTCTTACTGGATAATTTGTGACCCAGAAAGTCAACTTTTTGAACTTTTGTGATGCATTTTGACTGGTTTAGATATAGGTGCATTGTTTTCTCCAAAAACTCCTAGAACTTTTTGTAGGCAGTCATCGTGTTCTTTCCCATCCTTCCCAAAAATAATGACATCATCCAGACAGTTCAAACAATTTGGACAGTCAGACAACATATTCTCCATGACCCTTTAAAATATTTCTGGCGCAGAGTTCACACCAAACATGAGCCTTTTATATCTAAACATGCCCTTATGAGTAATGAATGTTGTGACTCCTCTGCTTTCTGGATGTAGCTCTAGCTGATGGTAAGCATTTGTCAGGTCTAGTCGAAAAAAATATGTAGCATTCCGTAATTTGGTTAATAATAAATCGAATGACGGTAGCGGGTAGTTCTCCCTTAGAATTGCTTTATTGGCACGTCGCATGCCTACGCAGATTCTTATGTCCCCACTTTGTTTTAAAATTAATACAATTGGTGATAACCAGGCACTCGGTTCCGTAACTTTCTCTATAATATCCGTTTGCAAAGCATCCTTAAGTTTTCTCTCTACTTGGGCTTCCACCACCACTGGGACTCTTCTAACTTGCTGATGTACTGGTTTAACTTGGTGGTTAATAGTAAGTTTACCATTACCCCTTTAAATTTCGGAAATGGTTTTTGGATGCTGATGGTATTTAAGTCTAAACCCAATTTTAAGACACCAATTTGTTTTGCAGTTTCCTTACCCAGCAACGATACATCTCTATCTTTTACTACATAAAATTAAGCTATGACTTCTCGACGCCCAAGAGTACCAATTGTAGTTTTTAATTTCCTTTGAATTTCCAGTCCTGCGCTGCCATATGGCTTTAGAACTCTGATGTTTTCCTGCTAATATTCCAAACTGCCGCATTTCCTTGGAACATTTTCTCCCAATCTTTGCTGGTTAAAACAATCGCCTTCGAGCCAGAATCAATAAAAAGTGTGACCCCGATTCCACCAATCAGACATTCAATAACGTCATCTTTGGAAAGTTCATAAGCAGATATTTCGGGACATATTATTTGAAAGCATTCTAGCCTGTCGCTTAACTCATCAGATTCCGTGTCTCCAGTTTCATTCTCAATGCGGTTGACCCGTTTGAATTTATTTTTCCCTCCTGTGGACTGATTTGCAAATGGAGCCGTGCGTTTATTTGGGTTGTGACCCTTAGACCTGCACATCATTTTAAATTTTTATTATTTCTTTGAAAAGAAATATTAAAAATTTAAAATGGTATAAAATCTGTAAAGTTTATAATTAGTTTTTTTTTACATGAAATTTGAAATTTGTCGATAAACTATGGTAACTAATAAATTGCACCAATTAAATTATTATTGGGGGAGCCATGGCGCCCGAGCAAAAATTTATCTTTTTTTCGCAAACTTTAATTTAAATTCTGCTTGCGCAGAACTTGTTTATTTAATGTCATTATAAACTGATATAAATTTGGTGTGGGTCCCATAACTAATAATTGAGATATCGGTATACCCAATATCCACCAGCCGCCACTGCAACCAACAATATCTATACATGGAATGACACTTTTCTTTAAAACAATTTACTTAATAAATTTTCTATTAATTTCACTTAGCCATATTTCGGGTAAAACAAATAATTTTAAATTCAGTCAACTAAGAAATCGCAAATGTTTGTGTTTAAACCTCCTACGTTTTGATAACATATATTTATTTCCTCTAGTGATGAAATGTTGCTCATTACTTGTTTAAATTATTTTGAACATTATTTATATATTTAGAGTAACATCTTCTCATGTCATATTCTAGCAAAAGCGTTTATCAGCTAACCATACATACATATATATACATATATATTTCCTAATAATGCAAACATGTTTAAGGCTCTACTGAAAAATTGTTTTTTTACTCATCCCCTTTTGCCTTTTTCCCACAGAATGAATAAAGACTGTTTTTAAACACCAATCAATGGAGTTAATTATTTTAATTCAAATTAGTATTATATTAAATATTGGATCGCATATGTTTTACATAAATGAAGTAATCAACCCAGGTATCATACATGTGATACATCTGATAAATCTGTAGATTGTATTAAAATATTTTGAAAACATTATAGGTTATAATATCAATAAGAAATATTTACCTGGCCCTGGTTTATATTGCACTATGTAATTTGTAATTGGACTGTTTCCAGCATACGGGTATGTCCATGAGATTCCTATAGATCTTGAAAGTTGATCCATAACTCGAACATTTTTAGGTGGTTCAGGTATTTCTTGAACAATTAGCTGTATATTCATATCATCACTGCCATATGCATTAGATGCAGAACATGTATATATTCCAGTATCCTTTCGCATTGTTCTTTCTATTCCTAATTCAGAAACCAAACCATCTGCTAAAGTTTGTTCACGTATAGAATATCTTTGATCACCATCATTTGATATATGTTGACCAGCCATCTGCCAGTGTATATCCATGGGTGTATCTCCCAAAACGGAACATTGTAAATGAGCTTGCTCTCCTTTAACCACTTGAACTTGTTTGTTTTTTTGTACAAAATTTGCTGGCGCTACAATGAATAGGATTGTATTAAATATCATAACTACCCTCTAAAAATGAATAAGTCAAAAATGACTAATTACTACAGTTATTAGTGGCTGTTTTTTCACTTATACCATGGTTAACCATGGGATACCATGGTATCCTCAACACTAAAAAGCCAATTCTTATGTAAAATTGTGAATCAGAAAATACCGTCAAAAATTATGAAAGTAGAGCAGTTTTTAAGATATAGTCAATTCCATATTATATGGAAAATCTACTATATCTCAAAAACTGATCTACTTTTAAACATTCGGTATCAGGATACAATTTTACATGGAAATTGTATGATAAATGTTCGGGATACAAATTGTTATTGATGATAATTATTATTGGCTGCATTTTTAGAGAGTAGAAAAAACGACCCACCTACCATTAACTTTTAGAAAAATTACTTTACTGACTCCTGAACCAATATTATTTTTTGCTTCGCATAAATACTGCCCTTCGCTTTCTTTTGATATGTGTATAAAATTAAGAGAACCATTTTGATATTGTTGTACATTTGGCTCGTATAGAAAGTCTTTATATTCTCCTGGTTGCTGACCTTAAATTAAAGATACACAAATGTTGAATGAGGTTAATTTTGTTTAGATTTTAATAAATTTAAATGTTTATACCTTTTGGACTGCGCACCTCAGAAAATCCATACAGAGGTATTTTTGTAGGAAATTTAATTTAGTCAGGGTTATGAGAGTAGACACTCATGTACGTTTTCTTTATTATAGGTAAACCAGATTATGCGCACTAAATGGAAAGTACCTCGACCATCAATCAGACCATCTTGACACTTGTTAGTTTATTTGGTAATTACATTAAACATTAAATGAATTAAATTACTATTTATTTTTCCGCGTTACATATAAATGAATTTCCGTATTATTTTAAAATTCATATGTTAAAGGATTAATAGATCTAGAGATGATTCCAATTATATTTAATACACCTAATAATGTCTGTATTAGGAATGTGAGGTTTAAAAAAAATAAATAAGTTTTAATTAATTTTATATTAAATTTTAAATTTCCCTATTATTTTTTAACCTTCAAAAGTTTCAAACTTGTCTTACGATGGTAGATTTTGGCTTTTAGGCTTTTAAAGCAGGAAATAAATTAGAAGCCAATAAATATCATGGGTTACAAAAATGCTCCAATAAGAAACGATTAAATTAACTGCGATTATCAAATAAGCAACTATTATTCATGATATGGATAATTAATTTATTGTTATTAATTGTTAGGTAAATAAATCATTATGGATTGTAATAGTCTAAAAAAACACAGTGTTTTTAATGCAAAACAAATGACAGTAGATAAATTAAATAAATCTATAAAACGTAAGTATTAACCAACTATAACTAAAAATATTATTGAAAATAAGCATAAATTGAAAAGGAAACATGTACTATTTTCTATCACAATCAAATAGGTACTTCTTTGTATTATTTTTAGAAACCTAGAGAACACTGTTGTCCATCAAAATTATTGAGCCTAGCAATGTGATTAACCCTTTGCGGACGGATTTATTTATTTTTGAAAAAAAAATATTTTTTTTTTAAACTTTATTATTGAAGTTACAAAAAAGTTGTAAAAATGAAAAAAAATATATATTTTTAACTCTAACGCATAAAAAATGGTGGTCCTTATGGAGACCACCAGGCCAGTCGCGTGTGTTGACCAGCTTATCAAACTGTTGAATCGTGATGTGCTTTGAAACAGTTACGTTTCTCCTGCATACAAAGTGGAACTTTGCAAGTTTGGCACATTAAATTAGTGCGATGCACGAATTTTTTTGTGCTGCAGTAGTTGCACCTCCTTTTGGTTGAGAACACAGGCATGTGGGCAACTTTGTCATACCGTTTCTCTGGCAAAACTGTAATCTTGTAGTTATTTGAAGATTTGACACTACCAGGTCTACCTCTTTTCTGGACTTTTGCTTTAGCCCCAATGAGCCCTGCAGCTACAGACAGTCGAAATTGTTTTAGTGGTACACAGGCACCTTTGGATTTCGTTTTGAAGATTATAAAGGCATTTACTAAGCAAATGTCCAAAAAATAAAAAAATATCCTGTGCCACCATTTCTTGCTCTTGCGATTCACTTCATAAAGTGATTTGAGCATATCTGCTTTGTCCACTCCTCCCATGTATTGGTTGTAGTCTTTGATGACTTGAGGGCAAGGAATTTCCACGATTTCAATCTGGTTGTTGACTTTCTGTTTTCTCTGTACAACTTCAACATTAGCTGGATTATGAAAATTTGATCCCATCAACACAGACCGATTGTCTTTCCACTTCAAGCACATTATACCGGTTTTCAACATCTTGTAGTCTATGTCCCCTTTTTTCATATTTGTGTCAATTGTCAGCACAGGAAGATGTTTTCTGTCCCGACGCATTGTTCCACATGCATAAATCTGTTCATCTTGCAGCCGCATCAGAAGAGGAATCGAGTTGAAATAGTTGTCAAAAAATATTTTATGATTTTTGCCCACCAGATCTCTGGTCAAATCTGTCACGACACGTTCTCCTAAATGTTTTTCGGTCAGATTTTCCTTTTTGCCGGTATAAATTTGAAACTGATGTACAAAACCTGTGATGCTATCAGCTCTCACCCAGACCTTGTATCCCCGTTTCACCGGTTTCATCGGCATATATTGCTTGATACTGGAGCGACCCTTGAACTTGATCATCGACTCGTCAACAGATTGGTGTTGTCCAGGATTCCAAGACTGTTTGAAGGTTTCTGTTAGAGAATTCAGTAGTGGCTGAATTTTATATAGTTTATTATACCCTGGTTCGACCTTCTTGGGTTGCATTGAATTATCATTTACATGAAGGTTTCCCAGCAACCAACTAAATCGGTCTCTCGACATCTGTGCGCTTACGTAATCATCACGCATTTCTGGTAAAGATGACCAGTAATCTTTGTAGCTAGGAAGTAGCTTCAATCCCATGATGAGATTTATATATAAATCTAGGTAGGGGGTATACCTAGAAAAGTCTTCATTTCGTCTTTTGTAGTAGAAGTGTATTTTTTATTAGCTTGGGTGGCATAAAGATTCGTTTGAAACACCAAGTGTTCAACAAAATCTTCCGAAAAAAGCTGCATAAATGTTGCCAATGGTGTGTCGCATTCAGAAATAGGCCCATTATCTTCTGTAAAAGCATAAGTTATTGGAGGAGCAAATATACGTCTCCAAATTATTTTTTCCGCAGGATCTGGCACAAAATTAATCAAAGGAATGTCCATTTCCTCATCTACCCTGTCTGAAAGGTTTTCATTGCAATCTTCTTCATCTTCAATAACTTCTTTTTCTATTGTTGCATTCTTTTCTTCTTCATTATCTGATTCATAATCGTTTCTGTTGCCCTCTTCTTCATTTTTAATAACCTCTTCCTCTATTACTGCAGTTTGTTCTGCTTCATTATCTGATTCATACTCGCTGGCATTGGATTCAATATCAGAAGGAATTTCTTCAATCAAAGTATTGAAAGCGTCCGCAGAAAGGTCATCGAGATCTTAAAAAGTCCATCGGTTTTTTTCAATAAATTTGCGCAATTTATCTGCAATATGAACAACCGCAGTGTAAATTTTGGTATTAACATTAATAAAAATTATTATTATTGTTATTATTGTTAGTATTGTTAAAAATAGCAATGAAATAGAAAATAAATGAAAAAGTGAGTATCTAAAAAATAAAATAGGTAGGTATCTTGAAACCTAGTGGTCCCTGTGGGAACCACCAAATGTTGACACCAAATTGACTTATTTTTTTTGCAAAAAGAATAAATATTATATTTTTTTTAGTTTTGCATGGCTATTAAGAATAAATAAATTCACTTACCGCCCATTTTACTTCAAAAATAACAAACTTATTAACAATATAAAGTGGCTGTGACAAAAAGGCGCGAACTGTCATAATATAAGGGTAAGTAAAGCGTATCGCGCGATCTCTGCGACAAAGTTTAATTTTTTTTCAATAGATGGCACCACAAATAATGTAGTGTGGGTTGTAACTCATAGATGGCACGACGCCGATAAGTTTATAAAAATTCATAAAAAGGTGGTATCTATATGGGATCCCCAGGCCGCAAAGGGTTAAAGCAGCAATATCAAGGGAGGTAAAGATAATAAATGGTAATTACTGCCTATTAATGTAATACTTTCATTTTACGCTAAATTTCAATTAATACAGTTTTACTTTTCAGGTTAAAATTCACGAACTCGAAAGGAATTTAAAGAATGTATAACCTCACGACAAAAAAACATACCCAACTTAAATACCTTAATTAAATAAACACTATTTACCAAACAACTGGTTGCTTTATTATTTATATTTAAATAATACCAAGATTATATTTTCTTCTTAAAATTATTAAAATTTAAATGTTACAAATTTTCCTTGCGCGTTCGATTTCTCTGGTATATACCTAGATATGTACAACTGTCAAGTGTTCGAAAACAGCAAGTATATGGTTGTCCAAGCTTTAGACTTGGTTAAGTTTTACCCGTCAAGCGTATATGGTACATCAAACAATAATTTGAATTTACCTTTATGTAATTTATTAATATCTGTTTAAAAATCAATAAAAAAAACAGTAAAATAAAAGATTTAATTTAAAATAAATTATTTAAAAAATATCAACTCTACACAAAAACTTGAATAAACCATATAACTAAAGGGTTAAAATACAATAATTTAATATTTATATGTATTCAGTCAAATAACAAGCAAAACTAATTGGTTTTAGAACACTACAACATAAAGTTTATAGGTATGTGCTCCGCACTGCGGAGTCCGCAGCGTTCGAAAATAACAAGGAGGTCAGGTATAATGTAAAGTCACGTGATTATATACCTATCCTTATACCATATCCAAAGTACATTCTTATTTCGAACGCACTCCTAGTCTGTTAAAAAATTAAGGAGGATTTTAGATTTTCTTGGCTTGTATTAGACCGATTTACACAATTTTTTGTTGTTTTGTTAGTAAACATGTTTAACCCGTAACCGGTACGGTACGAGTTTCAGGTCATAAACGGTACTAAGGGGTCTGAGAGACACCTACCTTTTAAAATTATAATTTATATTATTTTTTTTATCTGAGGCTTTGGGGATACTAGGTACTATATATAAAGTTAGAATATCACCAAAAATAATACCTAAATAAAAGAAAAATTTAAATAAATAGGTTTTAATCAAAACATGTACAAAAAGTGCAGTAGTGCAAACTTTGTGATTAAACTATTAAAAATATAAAACCAAACAAAATAAAACGATCTTTATTTTGATGAATATACCTTAAAAAATAACATAAACAAAAAAAAATAAAATATATCTTTTTTTAACAGCAAAAATAACTGCTTCAAACTATATAGCTGATTTTTACAATTATTTTTTCCAGACTAACTTTTTTGTTGTTTTTAAAATTCTTAAAAAAATTCAAATTCTTCACTATCTGACCCTATAAAATTATTTTCTTTAGAATCTTCACAGACAAGTCCTGAATCGCTGCTGTGATTATCTTCAACTATATAATAACTATAA